TTTAGTATCGAGAAAGATTGCCAGAAACTCATTCGCTGTGTGAACAGCCAAAAAGCGATTTCAAAAAATTTTCCTGCAATTCGCCTTTCGGAAATAAAAACCTCTTTCGAAAGACTCTTTCCATGCAAGGTGTGACTGCTCATGCAACTGATTTCTCAATTTAACAGCCTTTCCGAAATTTATTGCTTCGAAATATATTGTCACGTCTGACACGCTCTTACCATGGACACTTGGTGTGGTAAGATTCGCTGTCCGCAAACCCAACCAAAACTAGTGTTGTGCTCTTCGCTAGAAAATCTGCTGGCTGAATTTCAAATCAACCCAAAATTCGAATGGAGTGTTATGTAGATTCTTTGTACTAAATATATACATATTTACTTGTGGAGTTAGCAGTTTTTTATTAACAAAAATAAATGCTTTTGAAGTTAAATTGGACTCATCGTGCTAATTCTGAACTTTACTTCCATGTGATTGTTGTTGCGTTTTTCTTCCAGAAATAGTGGAGTTAGCAGAGGATAAGCTTTCTGTCGGTAAGAGTTAATCATTATTCTGCGCTTTTTAATGGAGTTCAGAATTCATAATTTCGAAACTGAGTGTGTACTCTTTTATTGTATACACCTAGAAAACCCGATTACTTTTTTCCGCTTATTCTTGATATTCTTTTGTACAAATAATAACACAGTCCAACAATTTCAATTTTTGTTTTAATATAATTAGAAAAAGGGCATCGATGAGCAAATCTATAGTCCACCACGTCTGAGTTTTGTTTTATTTTCAATCAAATCTTGAGGAAACATGCGAATCTCTGCACCGCGAACAGAAAATATCTTCAGGTGTTAGCTTTGCCGCCTGAGAGAAGAATATTCCCCAACCAAAAATAGCTGTAGTGTGCGTACATCAAAACTTCCGCAGATCTCGTGTTTAAGCAAGAAATTAGAAAACGAATAGAACCTTTCGGCAATTCATAAAAGTAAAATAATAACGTGTATGTAATATATAAAATTAAATAAATCGTTTCGGAAAAAGTTTTTAAGAGTTTTGTTTTTCTTAATTTCTTGTGTAATAGAAAGGATAACGAAAATTCTGTTGTTTGCAAACCATGCCTATTTTTTGATGGGGAATATTTTTGCCGAAGGCGTTATACAGCTATTGTAAATATTTCACTTATATTTATGAGACACTACGAAATTTTTTCTGAACTATTCGAAAAGTTTGGGAGACCTTTGTGGATTTTTCGTAGATTTTCGCAGTGGAATGTGATTTGGCGGCATTCCGCAGGGCCTGGGTTCAAGTCCGGTTCAACCCAACACCAAAAAATAAAAAACCAAAAAAGTGTTTGTTCTAATAGCGGTCGCCTCCCAGCAGGCAATGGCAAACCTCCGAGCATATTTCTTCCATGAAAAACAGGTTCTTATAAAAACACAATCGCCGTTCGTAGTCGGCGTATTACTGTGGACCCTCCTCTATGTGTGGCGCATGCCAAAAATTGGAGGATACGCTCGGCGAAACACTAACATATGTACGTGTAAGTACCTGAATTGTCTTAGCACTTAATGGGGAAGGTGACCCAGCCCTGGTACATCAATCACACTACTGCAGACAAATGGTGATATCACCGGCCTCGAAGAAATGTAATCGACGGGGGCAAGGCAAAAAGCGTGTGGAGCCTTAGGACGTCTACTACAACTGTCATGTAAAGGAGCGTAAATTCGTTATCGCATTTATGAAGGCTGCTACCACAGAGTTCTGTCGTTTATCCGCATCAAATGGAGATTCTTCAACATCTCGCTCATCACCGCCCATTCGCCGACGGAAGAGAAGGACGAGACGTCCAAGGGTCTATTCCTTGAGCGCTTGGAACGTACATACGAGGTGGCATTTTATAGCCTAAACTTGTATGAGCTATAAAATTGCATACGAAAAAATGTTCTAAAAAAAAAATAAAGAAGCTTTAAGAAAGGTTTGTAAACAGAAAAATGTATGAAATCTTCATTTTATAAAGCTCTTCAAACCTACTTTATTTTTTATGAATAAAGCCATTAGGGTAAAAATTTTAAATTTTGATGAAAATTTGTTGAATTTTCTAAAATTTTGTATACCCTTTGATGTACATATATATGGTTTCTCTTAAAGCTTGTATAATTTTTTATAGAAAATTAATAAAAAATTTTATTTGAAAAATATTGTGAATATTTAAAAAGATCAACACGTTTTCACTTGTTTGAGCCACTCTATGTAGGTATGCACTTGTGCATATATCATAAGACAAAAGCATATTTATGTATAATAAAATAAAATTAGATAAGCAACACATTTTTATGATTTCGTGCAGCAATAACAAAAAAAGATTTAAGTAATCAACGACCGTGGTGCTTTCGTGTTTACCTTATGTCATACTTGACGTATACGTAATGGGATACCATGAGCTTACATACGAGTACATATTTATGCACAAGTATTTATGTACATATACATACATGTATGTATGTACGTACGTGATCCCTCAAACGCTTTATGTACAAATGCAGGTATTTTCCTATATATTTGTGGAAGCCTGCAAAATTGGCAGTTTTATTGACTTGGTTCCTTTTGGCGTTGTTGTTGTTGTTAGCCTTTGTTTGCATTCCTTGATTCATTCCGTCACTTTTGTGTTTGTTTGTTTTTTCTACTTTTACGCGTTTATTTATTTTTCTGTGTATATGTATGTAGGTACATGCTCTGCTTCGGGGATTTTTCTGCTTTGCTTTTATTTATTGTTGTATTTATTTATTTTACGTTTCAGTTGGGCCTTTTAACGCTCGGTGGCTACTTGTCACCCGGCCACACTGTGACGTTGTCATTGTCGTTCAGGTTGGCATATTTGATGTTATTGTTAGTTTGTTGTTTTTTTTTTTTTTTCTTTCTCTTTTGGACTTTCATTGTCCTCCGTCTGACATGAAATATCTCTTTTCGATTTTCTACACTTTGGCGCGCATATGCCACTCAAAGAGGTGTAAAGCCTACTTACTTACTTACGCATAAATAAAAATTTTGCACACACACATATATTTTTGGATGCGTATGCATGTACGCACATTTATAATCAACTTAATACTAAAAAGGGTACAACATTCGCATTATTTTTTGACGGACGTTAGGCTTTATTTATTGATTTATGGTCTTATTGTGCTTTTCACTACAAAAAAAAAAACTACGGCGCCCTAAGTAGCGTGAGCGTTGAATCAGCAGAAATGCAGTTAATTCACTTAAGCTGTAACCCAAAATAAAAAGTAGGATTTATTCAAAGGATCCACAAATAAAGCAAAAAAATATGAGCATCAAGCAAATTTGGCTTAGAAAAGGACCCTTTGAAATGGGATTTTCCTTCGTTTCAAAGGACTGCATACTTGTATAGATTTAACAATAATATTTATGTAATGACTTGCTTAAGTTTTTGTGTCATTCAGTGTCGTCAAATAGCTGTAAATGATTTAAAGTATTATCATGTATGCATTTTGCAGAGTAAAGAAGTGTAAAAATGTTGCAGAGACAATGAAAATACAACAAAATCCCAGCACTTGATATATCGTTTTGTATTCGTAATCCTGGCGTTTCCATTAAGAAATGCAAATACATATTGATCGAACGCACGCAAATGCAAACATTCCCATTGTGAAACGTTAGCTTCGGTCGCGCGTGTTTCTAATTGTTCCGCTTTGTACGCCGAATTCCATGGCGTATGAGTGACCAAAATCTGTCTGACATCAATATCAACATTTACAGGGCAATTCTGGAAACTGTGTCTTTCAACTCACAAAATTCTTTAGTAAGACAAATGTCAATTGTGGCAAATATCTTGAAAGCTCTTTACTGTCTTTCGCAAGACTAATTGCTAATTGAAAGATCTGCTAACGAGGAGGTCTTGGCGTTATGATTTAGGCCTTTTAGCAATCAGTTCTTTTAAAATTAAATTAAAAAACATACATATTTTTATAACAGCAAAAATTAGTAAAAAAATAAAATTAAATAAAAATAAAGCAAAAATAAATAAAATAATTTTTAACAATTAAAAAGTATTTTTTTTTTCTTTTTAAAACGATAAAATCAAAAATAAAATTACAAAAAAAAAAATTACTAAAAGAGGAGAAAATATTTTTATTTTTAAAACACAAAAACTATCCAAAAGCTGATTCACTCGACCTCGGATCCCTCAAATGAAACGCTTGTGCTTTGTTCACTCGGCCATCGTGACTATTGGAGTTGCGCGAGCTTTCTCACAAAATAGATGTTCACCACGAGTGGTGAATGAGGAATCTTTTTTCTTAGATTAGTATGCTAGAATGACAAAAGTATTTCGAGCTATCTTGCCAACTGTCTTTAATTTGTCTTACGAAAGGCTTTTTGCTATCTTAGCCAGAATTATCCTGTTAGTCCCTTCAAAATAGTAATTTCAAGTTGCTGTGCCTTCTTAATTTATTGTTTACATTGAACATTGCTTATCAATTATATATGTAGCAGTAAAGTTGTATTTTGCAGAATAGGTACTTAAAAATATATTTTCCATGAAATAGTGACATAAAAAAATTTATGAAGAAATTTTAATTTTACAAATTAATTTTCTGTATTATTTTTGAAGTGGTGGTCACTTGTTTTCTCAAATTACACTTCAATAGACACAGCTTAATAAACTAAATTAAAACTAATCAAATGTTTTTTTTTTCTTTCTATTTGAATTTTTTTCATGTGCTGCTACTCATATAACACCAATGTAATTTTAAATTGAACCACTGATGGAATTTTTTCAATAACAATGTGGCAAAAAAAAATATTAAAACCTCGCAAAAAAATATTCAATTCATTTAAATGAAATTGCGAAAACCCGATGAAATTTGAAACTGATATTACAAAACAATGAATGAATAAACAAACAAACAAACATGGCAATGAATAAAATGAATAATGGCATGTATTTTCATAAAACTCAACAATAACGATGACAACAACAACAACAACAACAATAGAGGCACATCGGGCATCGATATTGATTTGAGGCGTGTGGATATTGATCAGTGTCCGCAACGAAACACACCTGGCAGTACACAACCGCTAAATATTTTCGCCGGCACTGACAAATGTAAACAACGCACAACTATGGTAGGTAGAAAAGAATTCGTTTATCTATTTTAAAAAATATTCACTTGATATTTATATTAGGTTCATTCAATTTAAAAGAGGAAAACGGCGTAAATTTTAAACTGTCTTAATTATCTTTGTTTCATTAGCAAACTCTAGCTGAATGATCAAATTTCATTGTCTGTTAAAAAATATGATAGAAAATAAAATAAAAAGGGAACTGCAAGTTTTGTGTGTGGAAACTTTTACTTCATATGAAATTACTTTGCACCAGTCACAACGATCTGTCCCACCAGTAACAACTTTAAATATTTTTTAATATTTCCACGATTATTACAACAGCCTATTTTTTATGAAAGCGAAGGCGTATATTATGTATATCGTAACATGAGCGAAAGATCGACCCATCTCTGCAGCCAGTTTGAAAACAGCCTATGTCAAAACTTTTCAAGAATGCTCTACTTCAGAGTTTGATTAAGGAACGTTCCGTCTCAAAATTCGGCTCCAAAACGCCCTATCTCAGCTGAAAATGCATTGAAAATGTGCTGAGATATGGCGTTTTTGAATCGGCAGCTGAGATAGGGCGTTGTTCAACCAAATTCTTAAATAGGGCATGCTTGAAAAGTTTCCTGACATAGGGCATTTTCCAACTGGTTGGAGAGATAGGTCGATATCTTCCACTCAGGTTTCGTAATCGGCAGATTTCTGGATCTCTTTTTATTTATTTTTTTTAAATATTCGGGTCATCGTTGAAACAGACAATAAGTTAATCAAAAAATTCGATTCGCGGAAATTTAAAGTCACTTTATATGCAAGGTGTTACTGCTGCTGCAATCGCTTTTCGAAATAGACGAGACAGACTTTTCAAAACTACATAAACTTGCCACGTCTGAAAGCTACTTTATCGTAGAAAGTGTTTTCAGAATTGTCCAATAGATACCAATAATGTGTGCATAAGGATGTGTAGTTTTATAACATTATATTCAATTCTTCTTCTTCTAGTGTCTTTAATACGGTTTTCAGAAAACGGCCCTTATTACGCGGAGAAATAAGTGGAAGCCACCAGAGACTAGAGACATATCATAGAACAGGGACCGTAACAGTTACAAGTTTTATTAAAAAATCACTCTTTAACAATTACTTTTTGACTTTTATTTATTTACTCCTAAAATAACAGTTTTCTCTCATTTTTATTTTATAAATCCAAAATAACAATTATTTTTGATTTTTTTAAACAAAGCTGCAAATAACAGTTATTTTTGATTTTTTAATTATATATCTTAGATAACAGTTACTGAAGACTTTCATTTATAACAGTCATCGATATAAATCAATTTTCAAAATCATATATATAAAAGTCATTTTTATAAGTCGTAGCAAACTTTGGTTGGTGACTGATTTTGATTGATGACTTTTAAGGCATATAATATAAAAATCAAAAGAAAAACTGTTATTCACAGATTATTTAGATCAAAATCAAAAATAATTGTTATTTTGGATTTGTAAAATAAAAATCAAAAATAATCGTTACTTTTTTTTGCATAAAAATTTATTTTAAAATTTGATTTTCGGTGCAAGAAGAAATCGATTGGTATATAAATATCGCTTAGTTATAGAACATTTCCTTCAAAGAGAAATTTTTTAATGACAGTTTTCATCAACAACTGTTATGCGAATTTACTAAATAATTTCGCCATCGTAAAAATGCGAGTATGTGCAGTTCATGAAGTTTAAGTCAATTTACTCCTCGACATAAAATGAAACTCACGAGTGGCGTTAATTCTCGGTGAGTTTTGACATTTTGTGTTAAAAGGCTGTTAGGGTAATATAGACGATAATAGTTATTGTTCTATAAACACAAAACTCCACTGTGATTGTAAAGGTCCCTCCTATGAAAAAAAATCAAATTTGTCTTACATTCGTTGGCTAACCACTTATGAACAACGAAAGTTCATTCAATAGAATGATTATCTCACAATTCTCAAGCCAAGTCAAGTAGAGTTAAGCATGCGTAACCGAGCCTTAATCCTCTATTTAGTCAAAATCCAGAATACTTCGGATTTAAGATATCCTTAATTCTGTTAAATTGTAATACGCTTTCATAAAAGCACTGAAGAGCGTTTAATTTACCATTCTCTCTTCATTCGCCAAGTTACAATGTTTGTACAATGAATTGTGATCTTACCCCACATCATTTCTTTTAGCTTTCAACTGATGCATTCAATTAATTTAATTTGTTTTTCATAGTCGTTGAGTTTTTGCTAACAAAGTTTAATTGATTTGTCACACAATTAATCTGCAAAAAAATTTACCCTTTTTTACTCTCTACTATTTTACAGTGTGAAGCTTTGAAGGGTTTGGGCTTTCGTCGTGGCTCGTACAAATGCGTCTGCCGGAAAGGTTACTATTTCCCCGACACAATGTCCAATCCAAAGTTTTTCAATGGCAGTCTGCTGGAAGAGGAGTATGAAAAACTTATGTTGGTGAGTATTTTTTTTATTTGGCTTGTGAATTAATAAACGATGATGGATGTAATAAATTTTTTGTTGTTTATTTATAAATTTATTATACAGTGTGAAGAGAAAAATATTGATAAGCGATTGCCTTATTCTTTTGTTTGACAATATTAATTGATGTATGTATTTATTAACATATATCTCAATTCAATCCAAATGGCTGGGAAGCGTAATGAAGTGTTTTAAATGCTTGCTATCTAATAAAAAAAGCTGTGTCGGCAGACTTGCCTTTCCAATAGGCATCTGAAAGTTATGGTGTTTTCATTTCTATAAAAAATGTTGCCTTCTCATTGCCCTCTTAGTATTTGTGCGTAAAGAGCAAAGAGAAGGTAAACTTTTTTGCTAGAAACGAAAACAACATTAAACGACTTTTTAACTGACTTCAAAAAAGTAGAATGTTATCAATTCCTCGGAATATATGTATACATATATAATTTTTTATGCATGTTACGGCATAACTTTCGACGATGTTAAACGATTTGTACAGTTCTTTTTTTCCATGGAAAGGTGTTACCTCACAGGTGTTCACATTTGGTTTAGATCCGATCATTGAATCATGAAGAAATCAACGATAATCTTACATTTTTGAAGTGGGTTTTGTGTTTTGCTTAAAAATTATTTGTTTATATAAATTTTCTGAAAAATGTCCATTTAGTCTAGCCTTTAGATATAGTATTTTGGGGAGAAAAGGGAAGTAATGCATATCTATCAAACAGGGACCGAGAACAAAAGGTATGATCGAAACTAAATGTCGTTCTCGTTGTTTTGTTCTCATGAACTTCGAAACCGAAACCCCACAGGGTTCCCAAAAAGAACAAAATCCGAATAATAACTTCAACACAAATGGGAACCAAATTCTCCGGAACGTTTTGTCTAAGAACAAAACGAGAAAAAAAACTCTAAGGAGCTTTCAGTCGTAGACACAATTTGGGAATTAAAGTGTCAGGAACTTTCTGAAGGTGAGCGATACGGAACCAAAACTCATCTGAACTATCCACAAAGAACGAAAACGAGAACAAAATTTGTCTGATAGCGTTCCATTAGTTTGAAATGTTTTAATATTAAAATGAAACAAAAACTGAACTTGACTAAAGGTCTACGAAAGAATTAAGGCACGAACTTTTCTTGCACAGAAAATTAAAAGTTTAAACTATCCAACTTTCCTCTGGTCTCTGACTTCTATTCTTACTTATTTCCTCCTTGAAAACGTTATCGACACTTTCGTTCTTGTTTTGTTCTCATTGGAAGCGTTCCCGAAAGTTTCGTTCTCATTCTGTTCCTATTGAGAACGTTCCCGAGAGTTTTTTTCGCATTTCTTTTTATGGAAACGCTTCCGAACCTTCTGTTGCCAATTGTTTTTTCGCTCAAACTAATCTCAATACTTTTGTTCCAGTTTGGCTCTTTTGTGGGCGCGTTCTTGACATTACATTTTGTTGCCGTGCAGAATTAAACCAAAGCTGGAACTCGTTCTAAGTCTCTGCTATCAAAGGCCGTTTGGGTATGAAGTTTAGGCTCGGACATGTCTTTACGATAAGAGCTGACAATGGATAAAAAAACAAGGATATAAGTTTACCTCCTATACCGCTCGCTAGATGGCATCCAGTCGCCATTCGGCTTCTAAATGAATAAACTATGGAGACGTCGGATTCTTCCACAAGCTAGTGTCCACCGATTATGCTAGCAGAGAAATTCTTCCAGGAGTTTCATTGGCCTTTCGTAATGATACCCGAAAACTTCTTTTAGGCTTTCTTGTGGGCAGGTCAATGGGATTACCTTTTTCCTTCTGAAAGCATAATTTGGCGGGAGGCGGAGAAGGCCGCCCTCGAAATTTCAAAAATATGATTAATTCAAAAAATGATTGAATAAAAGCAATGCCATTTAGAATAACAATGTTGGTATAAAATAAAAGAGAAAATTCTGTAGAGTTAAAGAAAATTAAGTCGTTTGATGCATAAGGACGAATGGTCTTGGAAAATGTCCTTTTAAAAATTTGTCCTTGCATATCCTTGAAATTTTTAAAGATTTATTTTTGAAAAAAATATATATATGTTAAGAACTAATACACACGCGACTACATCCTCGAAATAAAATTTATTAAAATCGCTTCTTCAATACCTATTCTTCCTTGTGTACCAAAAAAGCTTTAATAGTTTTAAATTCTACAATATTTTCTCTTTCATTTGGTACCCATATTATTTTTCTACATTGCACTGATTAAAGTAAGGTAAATATATAAATATATATAAATAAATTGATAAAAGAATAAAAAAGAAGAAAGAATTCCTGCATAAAATAGGGAAGAAGATTCCCCAGAAAGATTGAAGTTAATACATTTTTTATGCCACTCCTTTTAACTTTGGAAAAATTTTACTTTAATGTTTCTTACGCCATAGACAGATTTTCAAAATTAAACTGTAATATCTCGTATTTACTTTACAGGGCAAAAACTCCACTTACAACATTATCAACGAGTATGAGTGCCTACCCTGCGCCGAGGGCTGCGACTACTGCGAGGATGGTTCGCCTTGCATAGCCGCACTCAATTGGCCGATGCGAACGAGTATTATGGTGTTGGCTTGCGCTGTTATCGGGCTATTGCCACCAGCCGCTTGGTTTACATTCCGTTATCAACAAGTAAAGGTAAGTGTAAAGGTCGGAAGCGCAAACACGCACACACACACAGCGAACTATCAGCGAACACAATGAAATGCTCGCATGCATATGTACACATAACTGCACAAAAATCACGCATACAAAATAGTCCAGTAAAGCGACAACAACACAACTTGAACATAAAAGTCTTGCGTGGATGTCGTTAAGCTTCTCGCCGTTTATCGAATTAAAGTGTACAAATTTTCCAACGCAGTCTTAAAAGTTTAAGTGTGCGTAGTATGCTTCCGCCACCCACAAACAGCCAGCAGAGTATTATATGGCTGTGCATTTAGCTGAGCTCTACTGGCCTCTGTGCCTGCTTGTTATGCCGGCTGGTTAATATTGAACGCATTAACCTTGGCCACTAGAGTAGAGTAGAGAGCTATAGGCAGCCTTCTGTGGTTGGACCAACACTGGTCAAAAGCTGTTCTGCGGCTCAGCTAAGAGTTCATAAAATATGTTTTTATGACTTTGCGACGATAACCAATGATGGCGACTCTTGATGGCTGGCGTCTGTGGCGGAAAGTGAACTCATTAGCAGTATTGCGTAAGCGATTGTGCGCAAACAGGCGAATGTATATACATATGTATTAGTAAAAATCCTTGTATAAGCACAAACGGCTGAGAGCAACGTATAAGTAAGCTTTGTGAAAGAAAAACGTATAAAGCACTTGTTTGCCTTCCGAATGCCGACGCATATGAAACCACAAGTGGTTCGATGTCCAGTTTTCAACCGTCGTCACCATTATCTACTTTGCCTTGAATGCACATACTTATAAGTAAATTGCATTCCTCCGTTATTGGCTCTCTCACCAATGATGTTCTTTTATGCGTGCACAAAGACATGTTGCTTCGGTGTCCCAATCCAGATGTTGCGTTGGTATGTTTTCCAAATTTTCATTTCAGACTCACATTTTCCAAGGCGTTGCTATGTCGATTCGGCTTATGAGCTTTTTGCTTTATCAGTTGTTATTACAGCAACAAGAGATGGAATTTTTATGAGAAATTATACACGCAGTACCCAGTAGGAATGAATTCACCGCGGAAGTTCGGCGTGAGAAGGAGTTTAAGAACTACACAAAAACTTGTGAAAATTAGTTAAATATTCACAGAAGCAACTTAATAACTCATTTTGATATTTTCACATTTCCGCCCTTCATTTACACAAGTAGTTCAAAACTTGATATCAATGTTATTTGTTCTAACTTTAAATAAACTCCTAGTCAAGAGAACAAAATGGAAACAAAAGTCTAAGGAATTTTCGCTCGAAGAACAATTTGGGGACTACAGTCTCAGAAACTTTCTAAAGAACTTTCCGACAGAAGAATGAAACGGGAACAAATCTTCTCTAAATTATTGAACTATTCGCGAATAATGGAAGCGAGAGCAAAATTTTTCTCATAAAATTAAAATTGATCAAAAAAGAACTGAAAGATAATTTTGCAAATTAAGTCAGCGAAAGACTTAGGACACGAGCTTTTCTTGTATAGAAAATATAAAAAAAATGGTCCATAAATGGACGCTTCGTCCTAATGGTAAACGATCTAGGGGTTAAAATGATGTAGCTTTCATCTGGCTTAGAATTAGCAATCATGGTTCTCACTCAAACGATTTTTCATCCCTTCATGCAGGCACCACTCTCATTCTTAACGTTAAGTTCTCAAAACTTTTTTCTCGTATTGCTCTCCATTTCTTCATTCTATATCTTCATTGGAAACGTTCCCAAGAGTTTTAGGAACGAAAATCACGCGGTTGAAAAGATTTAGGTCTTCACATTCCTTGTTAAAAGAAGTCTGCTTCGGCGAGAAGTTACAAATCAAAACCACACAAAAAGTCTATCTTTCTATATCTAGATATTTGAACAGATGCGGCTTTCGATAAAACCGCTAGCGAATTTTGGACTTGCAGACAACAGATATTTATTTTCATATACAAGAACGTTGTAAGAGTACTTCTGTGTACCGCCACCAACTCTGACTTGACTTCCGAGTCCCGCTACTCTGCTTAAATCTTACTGACACTTCCTGTTCAAAATACCGTTGTTTTAAAGTCACTACAAGCGTACAAGAAATAATAATTTTCTCCGCAGGGGATGCAGAAAAGCGCACATACATATAGAAATGTACATATGTATGTACATACAAACAAATATGGTTGTACACTTATGTACGCTTTCGTGTGTGCATTTTCGATATTGAAGAGATATTGAAACGGATGCATGTGCCAGACATGCTCGTAAACTAAACAACATAAATTTTATAGATTTCCGGCTGTTGCTGGTGCTGAGGTTGTTAAAAAATATCGTTATTGGAATGACACATGCACAAACATCGTACATACATACATACATGCGTACATATCTACGCAAACAAGATAACAAATACAAACACATGTTTTAATAAAAGTGATTTATTTATTTACAGTTATTGAATTTTAACGAACATCAATGTAGTACGCTTACATTGAACCTCTCATTGCTCGTTCCAATATACCGCTCATTCTATCTTTGTTTTTTTATTTCCAGGTCGTCCGCGCCGCCAGCCCAGCACTGTTGCGCGTCATTGCTTTGGGAGCTTTCTTCATCTACTGTACAGTAAGTTTATAAGCGCATCAGAAATTGACATTTATAATGCTTAGCAAGACTTCCGTTTTTCTATGTTTACTGATCTGAGTGATTTGAAAATAACAAAAATTTATTGGAAATACTTAAATCTTAAAGGCAAGAGTGTATTAATGTAATACATCAGTGTTTGTTGAATAAATCTTATGAATATTTTTTTTCTAAAGGGTCCTGCATAGATTGAATTGCTTATATTAAATATTGGTAATAAAATCAATGAGGAGGAGTCAACATGTTGCGACACTGACTAATTGATTATTGAGCAAAACTGTGTTAGGCGCGCAAAGTGCAATGCAGAAAGAGGGATGAAGATTATTTCGATACCTCTTCAGAACCACTTTGGGACTACTTCACGATTATTTAAAGACCATTTTGGAACTGGTTCTGGACCGTTTCGGGACTAAATAATTCAAAACCAATTTAAGAAAATTTCAGGACTAGTTCAAGCTAATTTTATGCCTAGTTCGGGTCCATTTTGGGATTAGTTAAGAGCTATTTAGAATAATTTTAGGAATGGTTCAAGAGCATTTTGGTACTAATAAAGGACCACTTCTGGACCGTTTCAAGACTTGTTCGAGATCATTTCGTAAAAATTTCACGAAATTTTCGACAATTTCTGATTACTTATCTGATTACCATTTTCTGACTACTAGAAAAATTTCGGAACCATTTCAAAAGTAGTTCAGGACTATATCATTAACATTTCGGGCAAAGTTCGAGATCATCATCATCGAATAGTAACGGGCCATTTCGGAACTTGTGCGAGAAAAGTGCGGAACAAGTTTAAGACCATTTCAGAACCACTTCAGGCAAAGTTTGGTACTAGTTTTTGGTAGTTCGAATATAGTTAAAATATTTCTTGTGGACGTGGATACTATTATACACCAATGTCACTCAGTCACAGATCAATCGCTTGCACGAGATAGAGCACATTCATGTTATCTCAAAGGCTTTTCACCAGATATACGTTCCGTAAGAAATAATCGAGATGATCCGTAAGCAGAGAGGAAACACTTAGGTTGTGAGCCAGGCAGCATTTAGTTCTACAATAAGTATTTCCCTAATTCGACCAGTTCAAGGACATATTCTATTGTATCTAATTCTTAAAGAATTAAGATCTTCGAATCATTGAAAAAAAAACTCTCCTAGATGTAAACTTTATTCTAGAATTTTGGAGCCGCTATTCAATGAAGATGGAATCAATGACATTCAGACCAATAGCCTCAACAACCGTATCTTGGGTTTTGCCTTTTCCAAGTTTAAAGTAGAAGTAAAGCAAGTAAGTGTAGAGGTTGACAAGAATAAGAATAATTATATCTCCTGTCGTCAAGCAAACAGTCGGGGCGTTTATACCACGACACTCACGTGAGCAATGTACCTTTTCAAGCCACAGAAATAATGAAAAATATTTCTAGTCCTTTAGCCTTAAAACCAAATGGCGAATCAAAAAAAAAGTGCTACTTTGGATAGAGTAGGCCAATCAGTAGCTTGTACTTATTATAGCGCAGAAAATAAATGGCTGTTTAACATCAAGTTCAACTGAATAATCATTAAAAATCCTAAAATTTTCACTCTAGTGTTGGGGAACAGCCTGACCTCTCACCGAAGATAGTAAGACTTTCTTTACAAGGGTGAATATAAAGTCGAAAAAACCCTTACTATACCAGACCCTAGTTTGGTACTGTCAAAGCTATCTCCCTCTGGTAAATTTCAACTACGCTTGACGGCATAATGAACTTTTTAAGAAAATTTGCTTAATTTGACGAACATACTGCAAATTTCGTCCGATATGTCTACATTCATAGCCATTTTGCATAAATTTACATTTACATTTTCGGAAATCCTTATTGGATTGATAAAATTAAATAACACAGGATTTGTATATTCATAAACCGATTTGTTGGCTTGCATTTATAGTTATGTTTTTTTTTTTCCTTCGCAGACTATTGTGATGTATCCCAATCCGAATCTATACACATGTACAGCACGAATTTGGCTACGCGAAATCGGTTTCTCACTGACATACGGCGCTTTGATGTTAAAAACCTGGCGGTAAGTGAAATTCATATACAGTTACTTATAGACATATGTATCTCTGCATTTTTAAAAGAATAGCGTGTAAAAATTAAGAAGTAATTAAATTATGAGTGAGAAAAAAATTAATTGAAAAAGAAAATCAAATAAGTTTATAAAAGTTAAATAAAAATAAAAATATATTCAATGACAATTTTATTGAGCTCGAGGTCGTTTTAAATAAAATGAAATAAAACACGATTTACGGCTTCTGTTGGAAAGATAAACGATATATAAGTGGATTCTCTCAAGATAGATTCTCACCACGAGCGTTAAATGAGAGAGTTTTTTTTCTAAACCTTTTGTGCTATAATAACAAAAGTGTTGCTTTCTTATGAAAGTCTTGTTACTATCTTAGCCAGAATTGACCTGTAAGTAATATAAGACTTGGCATAATTTTATGGCAATTTCACATATGGACATAAATTTTGGAGTACTTAAAAACTCGACATACACTTTGAATAATTCAAGAACTGGACAAAACTTTAGTATTTTCAAAATTTGGGCATACATATGTACATGTTGGTAATTAGAAATAGGGACAAAATTTTTTTAATTTAAAAACCGTACTTTTTGCTGCTTACATTTTAGGTCTACTTTTTCTAACTGAATAGTCATCTATTTTTTGTCGTCCATATTTTTTATGGCGTACCATTTTAACTCATTTATGTACTGTTTTTAAATGAACCGCAAAAATGTATGCTCACTTTTTAAGTTATCAAAAATGTATCCCATATTTTTAAACGATCAAAAATTTATGTTCAGTTTCATAATGAACCAAAATTTATGTCACGTCTTATCGTTAATTTTATCTATTTCGGTAAGTTCGACCCCCACACTTCAGATTGCGCAGCTTTATTTGTTGACGTTCAGTTTTAAAATTACCCAGAATTTAGGTTCAGTTTTCTGTGAACCAAAATTTATGTTCAGTTCTTAAATTATTACAAATTTTATGCGCGCCTAGCAATAGCCAAAAATTTATGATCAGTTTTCAATTTTCAAAAATTTATATTCAGTTTTCAGACTACCAAAAATGCATGTCCGCTTTTCAACTGAGAAAATGTATCTGTTAAATTTTAATGTTACCTAAAATTCATAGGTATCCAGAATTAAAATTTCCAAAAATATATGTCCAATCTTTACTTCCAACCAGTCTTATATTAATGTATGTACGTTCCATAAAACCCAACTGTATGTACCACATAGACACACATTTCATTCAAAATAAATACGTAAATTAAATAAATTAACAAGTAATTTTTAGCAAAAAAAACCGACTTCAACTCTCATATAAAAAAAAATATATATATATATATCTCATGATCCGCTGATCGGATCTTAACCAGATTAGTATGGGACCACCTCTGAGACACTACCTTTCCGATGCAAAAAGAATTATCGAAATCGGTTGACGTGGTCCAAAGTTATGCGGTAACATACATAAAAAAAAAAATAAAAAAAAATATATTCCGACGAACTGATAACCTCCTCCTTTTTTGGAAGTCGGTTAAAAATAGAATCGCACACCTCTACTACAGAGAAAATATTTAAATTCGCTTTAAAATTACGTTCAAGTATTCAAGTTACACGCAAACTGCACGTAATCGCGCACTCATGCATTACTCCGCTCTCATTCTTTCTCTTTCTTTTCCCCTATACGTGCCTTTCAACACAGCATTTCGGTGATTTTTCGTGTACGTTCAGCGAAAGCAGTGAAAATCACAGACGCAGCACTTCTGAAGCGACTTGGCATTATTTGCGGTGTCATTGGAACGTGTCTACTGGTGCGTACTCTGGTTGCACCACCCGATGTTGTGGTCGGGCGCACTGCCGACGATCTGAAGGCATTTTTATGCAAAACGGATTATTGGGATTACACGTTTACATCAAGTAAGTACTACTGCTCAATACACAAAAGCCAAAGCCTGTTTAATAGGTAAGAAGTGCAACAATTTTACCCATAAAAAGAAACAGGTAACAAAGTAAAAAATTGCATAACTACAAAAATAAAATAAATATATGTATATTTTTAAACTTTGCCGCTTCTTGTGCACACTTAACTTAAAGATTATCGATTGGATTTACAAACTGCAAGACAGCACCGGCAAAAGTTGAGGCATATATTGGTGCATACTTACACACACATATGCTTACTTACTGGCTTAAGTAGCTTAACAATTTTTGCATTCTACGAGACAAAAATAACTCTGCTCCAAGAAAGCTTGGTAAGAGCCAGGCGTATGCATACCACAAGCGTGTAGGTACATATAAGCATGCACAAAACTTGTTTTTGTTTTTTTGCACTTGCATGTGTATATGTGTGTGTGCCTTTGCGACATCTACGACAACTAGCACGCCAAGCATGCCTGCCACCAACCAAGGCTGGCATGACTGAATGCATGATGTGCGGCGCACTTAAAATATTGCCCAAACACATGGTTGGCTAATTCGAATGGTGCTAAGACACGCTGACCCAGCATTGCCTAGCACACTTGAACGAGTTAAGAATGGTCGTACTTTGTAATACAAATACAGCGTAGTGAAAGCCAGATGCATAGTTGCATTACTGCCCGTCGCACAGTGTGCTTTTTGAACACTTCATGCAAATTAATTGTAGCGCTTTCGACAGAAGCAACATTTTGATATGAAACAAAATGGTTTTGAAAACCAATGTTATTCCCATTCAAGTACAAATATTGGCATTGCGTCGAAACTACTCCTTGACCTTAAAAAAATTTGTCAAAAATAGTGTTCTTCGAAAAAAAACATGCAGAATACACTGCATTTGTCCCACAAAAAAAAAATTTTTTGTATGTTTTCTTACAACAGAATTATTGATTTTGACACGAGAAACAGGACTGCGCTGTTAAAAATCGAACAAAATTTTAACAATTTAATTTAAATAATGCTTTTTTCATTGCATTTTTTTATTTGCATGCAGCTGTGCATCCTTCTCAAAATTTTTTATCACTCTAATAACAAGTACGTTGTAGTGCTATTCAAGATCTTTAATTTGAGGCATGGTAATTTTTGGGCCCTTTGGGAGCAAAGTTATAACAATTTTAAACCAAACTTCGAAACTGCCGTACAAATTTTACCAGGGACTGAACATAATAGTTATTGATGAAAACTGTCATGGAAAAATTCACTATGAAGGAAATATTCTACAACTAAGTGATACATACCAATCGATTTCTTTTTTCACCGAGACTCAAATTTGAAAATAAATTTTTATTTGCAATTTTAATGCAAAATTAAAAAAAAATAACAATTGATTATCATTTTATAAATTCAAAGTAACAGTTATTTGTGATTTTTATATTATATGACTTAGATAACTCTTATTGAAGACTTTTATTTATAAAACCTACGAGGTTTTATAGTTAGTACCTTTGATTATAGCAAAGGTGTCTGGACAAACAAATTTGTAAGTTGATAAAAGCGTAGTAATAAAATGCACAACGTACTTGTTGTTCGAGTGATATAAAATTGTGAGAAGGATGCGTCGCTGCATCCATGCAAATCATAAAAATTGCAATATAATGCATTTTTCAAATTTAGGGGTTGAATTTTTTTCTTTAATTTTTTAAGCAGCGGAATCGTGTTTCTCATCTCAAAATCTTTATATACTATTAAGATAATAAAACATACAAAAAAATATTTGTTTTGGAACAAATGCGGTGGATTTTCCATGTTTTTTTTTCGAAGCACACTATTTTGAGCTAGGAGTAATTGTGACCCAAGGCCAATATTTTTGCGTAAAACGGATTTACATTAGCTTTCAAAAACATTTCGTTTCATATCAAAATGTCGCTACTGTCGAAAGCGCTCCGATTAATTCGCATGGAGTGTTCAAAAAGCACACTGTGAGTCGCCAGTCTCCACTACACATATGTACATACATACATACATACAAATATTACCAACTGCTGCATGGCATAGATTTTTCCAAAGAAGGGTAACTGTAACCACATTTGGTGAACATGACTGCATGTCTTTCCATACGTGCTATTTATATGTTTGTGTGTATATACACAACTGTAGCATAATATGTTTGCCAAGTCACGCAATATGTTTAAACAGCAAAAGAATTAAAGAAAAAAGCTAAAGATACATAAATGCACGTGAAGTCAAGCAAAAAAAACGGAAATGAATTTGGATAAGTTGTCAACGAAGAAATTTAACTTGAATAAATTTAAGCAACTAGCTTATGGCAAAGGCAAAGTCTCATCACTCTAAGTGGGTTGGGTAGGAAGTCGCATTAACAGAGCATTTCCTCCGATTTGTGGTTCTGTCAAATATTTGACGTTTACAATTCGCATTTGCTTCTGACGAGTAGTTTTTTCAAGGCATATATGTAAATGCACGAATTTTCTTACTTTTGGGTCTTTGGGTTACAAGTGATGGAAAAATTCTTAATTTTCCATTACTATTATTACTATTATTTTTTTTTTTTCAAAATAAAATTACTGTCGAAATTTTTTACTTGCTGAGCATTGTCAATAATCAATGTATTTAAATCAACAAAGCATTCAAAAAGGTAATTACGGATATATCAGTGGCGGATTTCAGCAGCACTTCGACTTTAAGAAAATAAGTAAGGTTTTTACGTATCATTCCTACCTGCTACCTGTTTAAAAGAAACGGGCCGCCTACCCAAACAAACAGGTGCATGTACATTCTTAAGTACAGTTTTGTTACTTCAAAAATAAATTAGGTCTGGTGGCCGCAAAATCTTATCCTTGTCTATATATTTATTCACGAAAATTTACATCAACGCCATAGCATATTTTCAAGCAACAGAAATACTGAAAAAATATTTTTTGTGATGTTTCTTTAGAGCTGGAAACTAAGCTTTAAGAGCTTAACAATAAATTAATAAACAAAAAAATTTACAGTGATACTACAAATATTGGACATTTCTGTCACTCATATGCCATATGCCATGGCATGCGAGTAACTCGGGTTGTGTAGCAACTAATTAAAAGCAAACTTTTTGGTGTGGAGTTTTGTAATAATGTACACAAATTAAATCTCAAATGTCCGCACCGATCCCAAATCTGCTTGATTACAAATCTGTCAGCCTAAATTACTGGCTCGCCATGGCGTATGAGTGACAATAATGCCTTATAACATAAACATGTACATATGTACTTAATTAAGTGCAGTCGATATAGTCGCTGTAACTTTTTTTGTTTATTAATTTATTTTCACAGTTTCAACTAAATTCCTTACTGAAGTGTGTTGGAGTTAGCGATTTAAAAATTAAGTTATTAGAATTTAGTAGATTAATAAGGTGCGTAGACAAAATATTTGAAGGATGTTTAGAACTCAGTACTAAATTTTTCAACGATATATGTATGTATAACGATTTCAACTCCATTCATAAGTAAAATACTTACATTAGGAAGAAAGTCAAATTTAGAACTCACCGAGCTCGAAAATTTTTAAGACTTCAAATTCTCAAACTGTACACACCGTGTAGCTTCGCTTCTGACCTAATCGCAATGCATAAGAATCTGTTAGGCAGGTCTATGGAGAGTTAAAAGAAAGTGAAAGATGCAACAAGATCTCAATAACTTATATAAATGGCTTTGCGGAAACAGACTGAAACTCAATATTAACAAAACAAAATATATGATCATAACGAAAAGCAATGTCAATGATGAGAACATAGCTGCGCTAAAACTAAATAATTGAAGTATACAAAAAGTAGAAAGCATAAAATATTTAGGCATACCTTCGAAATATTTAGGCTTACCTTCGGGCAAACTGGGCCTAAGTGTAATTCTTTCAACATTAGATACAGGGAGCCGCTTCAATCTAACCCCACCTAAATAAAGTATTGGAAAATATTAAAAAAAAAAATTGTATGTCTGTCGTAACAAAAAAAAAGTAATGCGAAAACCTTTCCTGAATCTATACGTGCTCTTCAAAATTTATGGAACTACATTTAGTATTTTTTCCACATATTTTCATACCCCCAATTTGTAGTTACAATATAATAATATTAGCCAGCCTAATGTCCTAATCTACATAGTACACCCACCGCTCAGCCATAAAAATTTGTTTGTTTTTTTTTCTGAGCGCAGTTTGTACACACCCAAATAAAAACTAACATTAGCTGGTGTGATATACAAAAAAAAAACGCACATGGAAGCCCACGACACATACTCACAATCACAGAGATGTGCATACGGCCTTACATATGTACATCCACCTATTCACATGCAGGCGGTAAGCCTGAAATGTGTGTCACATTAAATTATACAAAAAACAAAGATTTGAACGAACTCACTTAATCAAATATGCGAAGCACAAGTGTAGCGCACACAGAAATTCTGAGAATGTGATGAAAAAAACCCAAAAAAGGAAACAGCAAAAAAAATACTACAACGAAATCTGTTAGCAAAGTGAAAACTGTGGCCTTGTTGAAAGCAACATAAAAAACCAAAAAATAGCACTCAGGCATGAAAAATTGTTGCGCTGCACCATGAATAATGCAGAAAACTTACAAATTTCTTTAAAAAAAAATAAAATTGTGTGCGTTTGCTTATGTCATAGCAAATCAATATTCGCATAAATTTTTTAAAGAAGCTAAACAAATTTCAATTTTCCTTTCTTTTATCAGGAACGGTTGTGTCATTCATACAAAATCAAGAAAGATGGCATTTCATTTTTGTGCGAAATTTTGTGGTTGTGACCTTCAATATGTACATATATGCTAATTTGTATAATTTGTATAAAAAATTGTATAACTAAATTAATGTTTTGTTTCCATCTCTTTCACTATGCCAACCATTTCACATTCATCGAAATGTTATTAATGCACAGTGGAAGTTCTTTTTCTCGCCTGGGGTGTACGCTTGTGTATTATGGTACGGAAAGCGCCATCAGAATTCAATGAGAGTCGCTTCATTTCGATGACCATCTACAATGAATTTCTGCTGACTTGTTTTCTCAATGTTTCCATGTAAGTAATATCTATAGCTCTTAGTTAGTTATTGTTAAGTTATATACACTAGTACGTATATTTGTAAGTGAAGTCATGAGACTGACAGTACGAAAAATTCGATTGAACAATGACAGTTATGCTCAACGACTATAATTCTAGGTAGGACTTGATGTTAAACAAATATCCCAAATAAAAATGTGAACCAAATTTTATATTTTTTAACGAGTTTCTTTACAATTTATGGCAATAGCTACATCTAACTATTTTTTTATTGGGCAATAAACTCTCAAGCACGGGAAAGCGCGAGATAGGAATTTATTCTCAACTGCCTACTCAGCCCAACGTAGCACTTGTTGGCAAGTGTGTTCGTCCGCTGGATTTCAAGGCTGACATTATTATTGGTGTCAATGCTGGTTCCTAAATAAATGAAGTCGTCTACTTTTTGGAAATTATATCTGTCAATAAAAGACGGGGGTGCGAAACACGTTTGCTTTCACTGTTTGTCTCATGACAGGAGATACTTCATTTTGACGTAGTTTACCCAAGCGCTGTGCTTCTCTATCTGTCTGAAACCTCGTCTTATCTAACGGCTTGGAGAGGTCCTTCCCAATTTTGACGGAGCCGGTAGTATAACTCAACGTAATTTTACATGGTCGGATTAGTTTCTTGGGGATACCAAATTCAGACATTGCGACATAAAGACTGCTGTGCTGTCGAAATCGGCTTTGAAATAGACAAATAAATGGCGTGTGTCGATCGTATTCTCGCGATTCTTTTCCAAGACTTGGCATATTGTGAATACCTGGTCTATGGTGGATTTTCCAGGTCTAAAGTCACACTGATATGGCCCAATCAGATTGTTTACGGTGAGATTCAGTCTTTCACACAAAACACTCGATAAGGCCTTGTAACATATGCTTAGAAGGCTTATCCCGCGGCATTTGGCTCTTATGGCGGGTAGGCCTTTCTTGTAGATTAGGCAGAGCACGCTTAAATTCCAGTCGTCGGGCATGCGTTCAGCTGGCCATATTCTGCATAAGAGTTGATGCATGCACCTTATCAACTTCTAACGCCGTACTTGAATAGCTCAGTTGTCCGGCCACAGCTGTTTTGTATTCCAGCCGCGTAATTACTCTTCGTAACCTGTCAGAGTCAGGCGGTGGGACATTCATCGACAGAGACTGTGTGCTCGGGTTCGTCTTCTCCACACCTTTTAGTGTTGCTAGCATTCCATAGTTTGGAAGAGTGTACCCTTTATTCATTAATATAGGCAGGACCTGGACATTAGTCTCTTGGTCGCCATTCTTGTCCGTACCAGACTTCGACCTGCTTCCCTTCCGTAAGTTGCCTAACTTTCTGGTAAACTTTTTGGGCGTTTTTCCTGTCGACCAGCATTTCAAGCTCTTTGCACTCACGTTTTCGGCCTCTCTCCTCTTATTGCGGCAAACACGTCTCGCTTCCTTCTTCAGTTCCTCACAGCGCTACCACATGGCTCACGTTGCGCCCGATCGCAGCTAACTAGCTTGATAGAGCTTTTTATGCTGGAACCTAGCATTACATACCTCCATGTTTCGCGCCCCGGCAAAGTCGAACAGCCTTAGTCCGTCATCGAACGTTTCATCGTGGAAAGTAGAATTTTCCGACAGCTCGGCCAAAGATCCTTCCTTGTCAAGTTGAGATTGAAATCTCCAAACGCGTTTTTTATACAGTGACGGGGTAGGTTCTCTTATGTGCGCTGCAATTGTTCATAGAAAAGATGCTTGACTTCCGCGTCTCTCTGTTCCATCGGCGTGTGTGCACACACGAGCGATATGATGAAAAATCTCGCTTTGATGCGGAATGTGGCTACACAATCATCCACCAGAGCGAACGACAGTAGCCGAAGACGAAGTCTCTCTCACACCATAAATGCAGCACCGAATTTGCGCTCATTTACGTGGCAGCTGCAGTAGACTGTGCAAGGCCAAAGTCATCTATCGCATTTCTTGGATAGCGGTGATATCAGTATTAGTATTCCATGAGTCCGTCTGTAGTCTGTCATCAACCAGCCTGGCGGAGGCTATTAAAGGTCCAGATATTCCAGATGCGTACCTTTACATCATATGCTTCTGTGGCCATCATCAAAAGAGGGATCCGTCGGTGCCCAAACCCATTCACACATGAGCTTGTTCGCCTTTTCACTTTAACTCGCTTCGATATCGGTATTAGGCGGCTACCCAGAGAATACGTGCATTTGAAAATTCGAACGTCGTTAGCTACAACTACTTATAAACCGTAAGAATCACTGAAAAGCAGTCAAAAGCTTTCCCCTCTTGCGTGAACTTCTGCGCACTGAGCCATCCTCCAATTTCTATTATTTCGAAGTTATTGTTTTTCGTAGAAATTTTTCACATAAATCGGCTTTAAGCTCAATAAAATGATTATCGCCTTAGTGAAGTTAGTAGCCAGAAACCGAATGAGAGAAACCTACATTTTAAATACATAAGTAATAGAAATGTCTTTCCATCCGTAGAGGTGCAAAGTGAGCCAAAAATACATACATATGTATGTATTTTATATAAATTTTCCTGCAAAAATAAAAAATTAAATAAATATTTGGCCCACTTCTCGAACACAAATTGACAGCTTAACGACAGCAAAGTCAACAATCCTGAAAACACAATCACATAGCAAAGGGAACAAAAGTAATATTTCTAATTTATTTCCTTTTCCTTTCTGTTTCTTGTTATTTCTTTTGTCGTTTGTTTTTTTCTATTCTTCTGCTCTATCTGTTCCCGCAGGCTCTTTCTACAATCACCAGCTAATCCTGACTTGCTTTACATCATTTTCTTCTGTCACACTCAATTGACGGTGACACCTTTATTGGGTCTAATTTTCGGCAGCAAGGTAAGCTACACAGCTCCCTCCCACCACCCAAAAATTTATATACATATATGTATATAAATACGACAAATTCCTAAATAAGGTTGTTAAAAATGAAAAGCTGTTTACTTTTCGTATAAATTACATTTGTGGGTGTTTTGTGTTTTTTAATCCACGATTAACTTGTAAATACTTGTTCATATTGTTGTTGTTTACATTGCAATGGTATTACTTACCCGCTGTATTTTATTCTCGCTTTCCTTTTTTTTTTTTTGTTATTAAAAAATAACAGGTTTACATTGTGTTGCGCAGCGGCAAATCGCATCAGGAGACCATTGGCATGGGCGCCAAATCCTCCGGCGCTAAATTCAATTTTCGTCCACAGGTGCGCACATACGCTAATCCCAGCTCGGTTACAACGTCCACGGTGCCCGCCGCGGGCACCACTTCAGGGGGTAAGTTGGAATTTTATACGTTTCACGGTGGTTTTTTTTTTTTAGTATTTTTTACACATGTACATATGTGGGTGTGTGTGTGTAATACGCTTATTTAGTTTTTGCTTCAATTTTATAAGTTACTCATTTTATTTTTGGTATATTATTTTCTCTCTGGTTCCCAACAAATTTTTGGCTGTTCATATTTTATTAAACGCCCTCTAAAATTTATTTTGGCTTTATTTACAGAACCGCAAAACAGGAAGCTTAAAAATATCTTAAACTGTAGGAGTATTAAATACTTATGATTGTTTGGCATTTATATTTAGATTGCATTACCTAATGAAAAGAGCGATGGTTGACAGGTATAATAAGATTTAAAATAGTGGCACTTGTCCTATTGCTTATAAATATTTATAGGCATAGTAAATTAAATAGCGGACTCCAATAAATATTAAATTCTATGTTTTGCCCGCAGCTCAGTCTACAAGATATTCGGTTTAGTATTATTTTTTAAAAAGTTACAAAAAGGATATTAAATTATTTTACCATAAATATGTTACTCACAAATAAACAAACTAAGCTGACATTTTTCAGAGTATGAACAATGTGCTAAATTTAAACTAAATAAATTAGCCCGTTCAGTATAAAAATCAGCTTAAATTTCTTTGTAAGCATTAGTGTACATCACTGTCCATTAAAAAAAAATTTGGTTCTGTTTTTCCATCGGAATTATAAAATTTTTATATGTTAAGATTTTCGCAAAAACATTGCAAAGAAATATCTAGATTTACGTGAGCTGCACCGATTTGAAAATCCCTCCGAAAATCGAGCTTTTTAAAAATAACATAGGTCTTGAAAAATATTTTTTTCAAAAAATCACCCCAGATGATTAAATAGTTTAAAATTAAAGGCTTGCATAGTATTGTTCAAAACTTTATCGATGATATTAAGATAATGAGATTTTTTGGAAGTATTTTGAAATCGGTCCAGCTCTCAGAAAGCTTAATATTTTCCGAAAAATTTGAAGATATGCAGACTTTTTTTCGCTAGGCACCCTTATAAACATAAAGTTTTAAAATTATTTTTTCAAGTAGCAACTCTCTGCAAAAATTTGTCTGAATAAACGCATAAGCCAATACTTTTTGTTTCATATCCAAGTTGTATTTTTATATTGAGCTGAAACAGAATAAATCGATTTGAAAAATATTGAAAACTTCATGCTTCCAAAATAATTTTCTGCAAAAAGGAAAATCTTCATTTCGAAATTTTCACCTAATTTGAATTAGATTTTTTTTGGCAGGTGGCACCATCATAAGTATCTTTCTTTTAAGGCCCGTATCATATTATTTTATTTAGTTTAAATATTGATTAAATTAAATTTGACTTTCAGGCAGGTGGCAACGCTCTTTCAAAATAGTTTCGAAATAAAGCTTACTAAATTTGATACCCATATTAAATTATTTCGTCCAACTTGTCAACTTAATAGATTTTGAATTACTAAACTAAAACTCTACAAAAATATTTATTAAGAAATAAATCCTCCATACAGTTTTTTCTTTTAACACCTATTATACAGCACCGCATTAAATTATTAGCACAGGGATTTTTTCACAATATATGCAAAATTTTTTACTTTAACTTTTAACCACTCATTTTTTATAAAAACATGGCTCATGCTACAATAAAAAAAAAAATATTAGTTCTCAGGATAAATTTAGAAATTTTCATACAAGTTTGCATTATTTTATTCAGTTTTTCTACAAATATTCCTAGAATGTAGTTTTATAGCGCATTCAATTTTAAAATAACAAAGTGCAAGTTTGAAGTTGGTAAAAAATCGCGTTGATTTTTGGCAATTTTTTTTTCACGCAGTTTCTTTTATACAAAATATCACGCAAAGTATATTCGACAAGTTTTTTTTTTTTTGTTCGGAAGAAACTGAGTGAAAAAAATTCAAAATGTGGCAACTCTCTTAAAAAATATTTTAGAAATAAATTCTGCATAATCGGCTCTCATTTGACACCCATAGATATGCAAATATTTCAATTAGTTTTAGTTATATTGGTTTTGAATTTCACAACAGGTGGCAACCCCCTTAAAAAATTTAATCAGGAAATAAAAATTTCTTCAAACGCTCTCATTTGATACACATATTAAAATATTTCGTTCAACCTGCACAATTTGTCTAAAAAAATTTGATAACAAGACTTCTAGTACATTGGATTTGATTAAAAAAAGCGAATTTTTTGAGGCTTTTAGAGATGTTCATGGGCTTTTTTCATGATTTTTGCAAACTATGGAAACACTTGAGATTTTTATGGTTTTTTTAAGAAATTCTTTTGGAAATATTTGAGCTTTTCTAATATTTTCTTAGCCGTTTGGGATTTTCTGCACTAATAGTGTGTCATTTCGAAACTGTTCAATCAATCAATTAAGTCAAAAATTTATTTTTCCATCTATGGCACGGTGATATCTAAGCCACTAAACACTGCACCTTAAAAACTGTGTACAGAACAAGAGTAGTCTAATCCAAGATTGGGGTCGCTGCGCCAGGTCTAAAGTCAGATATTTATATTAGTTGATTTTGTCTCCTTAGTATCAATACCCTTACCTTTCAATGCATTCCTGTAGATAGATATAGTAGACCTTTAAGGATTAATTTTGATTTCTGATTTCAGGCTCGTTTTGAGGGAATACAAATCTTTAAAAATTGACTATAGTCATTCTCAGAAGAATTTTGTTTTTATTGAGTGGCTATGAAAACATTATGGGCCTATGTATGTATGAACAATCACTTGTATTTCTAAATGTATCGCTTTTTATCGAATTATTTATCGATATCGTTATCGATATATTAATATTATGACATTCGTTGACTTTAACACTAGCAATATTGGCTGGAAATGTCAACGCCACAAACCTGCAGCATATGTATGGACACTAAGGTGCCTCACCAAAAAAAAAAAAAATCGGTTTATTATATTTTAAGACTTGCGCAAAAATATTTCGGAAAATATTTGATAAAATTTATGGAATATTTTTATGCATACTTTCTAAGCTTAAACTCGTCTATCATCTGAGGAGACTTTTTGGGAAACAAAATTATGAAATTGTATTTATGTATAGAAACTCGATTTTTTGATGTATTAAAAATCGATCAAGCTCACGTAAATCTTAATACACGCGTTTCTGAAATATTTTAGCGAAAGTCCAAAACTATAATAGATCGTATTATTCCGAAAGAAAAATGAACCAATTTTTCTTTTGTATGCAGAGTGTTACGCCTTAATGTGCATATATATTAAATTCTTCCATATATTTTTATGCACCATAATTCACAAGTATATTAAAGTTGCAACTACATGTCAGCTACTTAAAACGCTCGAAATATGTATTTATTTGAACTGCTTCGCTTGATTACTCACTGATTACCGCCAGCGTTCAAAACTCCCCGCAGCCTCTTTATCCTCTTTATCACATTTTATAAAAGATAGCAAAGATTTTGACAGTGACCGGCGAACTGCATCATTTGTCAAAATATTTCTATGTCCAATAGTTGTAACTAGTACAAAAAGTGCAAAGTAGCACTTTATGCCATCTCAGTTTATGCGCCGCCAGCTAACTGCCACAGCCATTAGCAAATAAATCTCGTTCCGCTCATGAGTTAGCAGTCAGAAGACTTTGCTTTATTTTAGTCCAGTTGTTAAGATTTCGTAAATCACATTATGCATGTAAACATTTCTTGTCCAACAGTCGCGCCAGTAAAGTGTTTTACTGGCTCAAATATTCTGCTTTATGTTAGGATTTCATTAGCTAAGTAAGTTGACGACCAGTCGCGAATTTTTTATATTTTTTTTTTGCATAAAAATAGGAGTAAGCACTTAATATAATTTAATTTGCCTGCAAATGATTTTTTCCAGCCTAGCGTCTCGGCGCATATCACAGCACTACTCTATTGCCACCAGCGGTTTTACGATAGTATATGTATGTAACGTATGTTTACATACTTTCATAAATATATTCTCTTCTGTTATTTGTCTCAATTTGTCATCGTTTATTAAACACATGTACAGATAAACATATATAAGTTTTTTATGTTTTTGTGCTTCGTCGTAGTAGTAACTGGTATATAGGGTCAAAATTGTTAGAAGTTTGGTAAACTTTTACATTGTTGCTTCTTTTATAAAAGATGGAATTTTCCTAGAAATATTTTTTAAGGTCTTCTAAAAATCATATAAAATAATATCTTAAATGAGGCGTTTTTAAGTTTCAGTTTTCACTAAATCAGAAAAATTAACAGCAAAGTTGGAATTGTAATGCTCTCACCCACTGGGATTGTTCTATATCGAAAAAAGTATACCACTATTTTTTTATTTTGAAATCAAAAAATATTTAGAGGTCGCTCAAAGCGCTCAAAGTTTTCCATGTATTTTTATATGGGAAAAATAAAATTGTTCGTAGAAATGGTATAGAATTCTTGAAAGTAAATAATAATATCCTATTGTTTATTTAACCATTTTTCAATACTAATGATTTTTTATTGGTCGACCCATTGCATTTTTCGAGGTTTTTGTGGGTTTTTGGCGGACCTATAAATTATAGTTGGAATGAAAAAAATGGTTAAGTGAACAATTGGGTATTATTATTGGGAATCTCCTGCAGATAAGCAGAGTTTTCTGGCAGAAAAAATATTGATTTTTAACTATTTCTACGAAAAGTGGTTTTTTCCCCGTATAAAATACTTTGGGCGTTTTGAGCGACCTGTAAATATTTTTGATTTCAAAATAAAAGAAAATAAGGGTATACTTTTTTTCGGTATAGAACAATACTAGGGGGGAGAGCATCAAAATTCCGACTTTACTTTTTCACATGCATTTTTGGGCCACCCTAATGTTCATACATATCGATGGCTGAGTGGAAGATCGACCTATCTCGGCTGCCAGTTCAAAAACGCCCTATCTCAAAAAACTTTTCAAGAACGCCCAGAATTCAGAATTCGTTTCAAAAACGCCCTATCTCAGCTGCCGATTCAAAAACGCGCTATATCAGCATATTTTCAATACATTTTGAAGTGAGATAGGGCTTTTTGAACCGAATTTTGAGATACGGTGTTTTTCAATATAATTCTGAAATAGGGCGCTCTTGAAAAGTTCTTTGAGATAGAGCGTTTTCGAACTGGCAGCCGAGATAGGTCGATCTTCCACTCAGGTATCGATATGTTTTTCAGACTGGTCAACAGTAGGAATTATTTAAATTGTCGAAGGATGACTTCAATACAGGACATTGAGTAGTAGCAAAGAAGAAATAAAGAGATAGAAAATAGACATAAGCTCTACCCTCTGAAAGCTTACAAAAAGTTTAGATGCTCTTTTATACAGAACTTAGGAAAGAAAACAGAGATTGAGTGGCCAGAGAAAAACTAAAACAGTAAAGCGTTCTATGCGACTCTAAAATGAACTTTAAAATGGAAAAGTACTCCTTGCCAACCATCTCGCAAAATGGTGAAGCCTATTCGCCATTCGCTTCCTGGGTGCTGCCTGAAATAACCGCAGCTTTTGATAAAGCATTCCCTAGACTTTGAGATTTTCCCAAATAATAACTAGATTACATTTGAGAGTAAAATCCAGACAAAATTACTTCACAAAATTACTCCTCAGAAAAAATGAAATGTCCACCTGTTAATATTTTTTTTTTTTTTTTTCTTAAGATTTTGTTTAGACTCAAACCGTATTCTTTGTGAACACAGATTTGAACTCTTATCATAACATAAAACATCTTTTTATTTCATATCTCTATGGCAAGTTTCTCATATTTCCACCGTTCCTTTTTGTCGATTTTCCATAGATACAAAGCTTTCCGATCAGGAGGCACTCGAAGAAATTCGTCAGCTGAGCAAGCAACTGCAACGCATTCAAGAGATGGCACCGCCGAAAGGTGTAGCTGTTATGACAATCTCTAGCCTTTTGGATGGTCTCAAGACGCCAGGCGGCATGATTATGGTCGCCGCTGCCGCTTCTCAGGCCGCCTCATCGAACAATCAGCTGACAGTGCGTCCATTTACGCCCGGTGCCGGGGGTGGCGGTTGTGGTAGCCCCAGCGGCGGCGATGGCGCTGGCGGTGCCTTACCATTACTCTCACTCAACAGCGAGATGGAAAAGTACAATCAGCAACTGCAGTCAACACACAACAACAACATCACTGCAGCAGCACCTTTAAGCACATCGAATGGCAATGGTGCGCAACCAATACGGCCAAGGCCCACGGTGCTGGAAGTGGAGACTAGCACTACCACCGTAGAGGAGTATGCGCTTGTACCGCGCGAAGATCGCGCAATAAATACCGACTTGACGCGTAGCGAAGACTTTCATCAGCAGGCGCTGGGCTGTGCGCAGGGCCACATCATCTGTACGCGCTGCTTGACTATTTCTAAGGAGCACTACTTTAGCTGCCGGCCATTCACACCACCACATGGTTTGAGGATAGGTAATGTTGCTAGAGGCAGTAGAAGAGCTGGCACTTGTGTCGGCGATGAGGAAGTCTTTGGCGGCGCCACTTGCCAACAACTGGGTTCGCCTCAGCCCGAGGGTAGTATTAGTTTTGCGAACATCAAATTGGATTGCATGTGCTCACAGCCAGACTTAGACTACGAGGTAGAGTCGAGTGTGCCACAGCGTCGACGTATCAATGTACGCAGCGCTGCCACCAACACCCCACCATCTACCGGCAGTAGTAGTAGAAGGCGCAGCGGACGCGCGAAAACGTGGCAAGATGTCATCGGTGAAAGCGGAAGCGCTGATGTCAGCTACCGCATTTGTGATAATTGTAAAAATAAGTATCGAAATAGCAATAAATATGGCGGTAGAAAGTTCCGAAAAAGCAGCGGACTCACCGCTTCGTCATCGACAACAATAAAAACTAAGCGATCCGATGTCAGTCAGACGCGTAGCAATGACTTGCTTGATCGCCAACTACCGCTAACAATGTCCACGTTTAGTAGCAGCACAGCAGCTGGAGATCATCAAAGACCCAAAGTGCACTCCACAGACGATATCATTTTCTATACCACCACTGATGAAAGCAGCACCAACAGCGACGACGACTCTTCGGACGGCGTGGGTGAAGGCGCTTGTAGTCGACTGCGGAGACGTCAACGCGAACTGACTTGTCAGTCAACATCTGCGCTTAGCACTGCAGCCATAAGCTGTGCGACGCTGAAGAAGGATGTTGCGGCTGACGCGGGAACGTCACAAGGCTCCGTGGCGGCAGCATCAGCAATACGCGGCGCGGATGGCGCTGAGTCGGCCGCCACTAATACGCAATCTTTGGGTAACGTATCAAATGCTTCAAATGTATCGATGAAAAGCGGAGAGACTGCGCCGAATGTGGGCGATAACAATACCAAATCGAATGGGTCTGGGCGTGCGAAAAGACCCGATAAACTAGTACTCGATCTGAATGATCGAACCAAATATACCAAAGAGGTTTCCGTTTAGATTTCCTAGAAGTTTGGTGTGAAGTGTGTATTTAGTTAATATGCTTAGGTATATACGAAAAGAAAGTCTGCCTAGTAGAAGAGTAAAAGAAATTTTGTAAATTGTAAAAAAAAACGAGTATCAATATTAATAGAGTAGCATAAATAGTCTATAGTAAGTAAGTAGCAGATGGCTGCATAAATCAGCATGCACTGTGATGATTTAAAAAAGTGTGAGTAAATATCGTAGATATATGAATGTTGATATTTGAAATTGAGCATGTTTATTAGTCACTAATGTTAAATAAATATTAACGTACGTATATATAGTGAGTTCGTTTATCAAGTCGCTTAGTCTAAAGGAATTTGAAGAGTGAACCTCCGCGTCATTCGATTGTATTACTTCCAGAATCCTTCGTGGTTCATTAAGTTACCAAGTGTTACATAATTTTCTTTAATTTCAGTTATGGTAAGAAGCTGTCATAAATTACTTAAGAATCAGGCATTTAATATGAAATCTGTGTATGAATGCAATTTCCGTGATGGGCTAGCAAGAAAAAAATTCTGAAATTTTTAAGTACGAAAAATATTTTTTAAGGATTCCGTTAAACGCGTGAAATAAGTAACTTCGAAATTCGATCTTCGGACATTTCAGTAAAGGTTCCCAGATTTTCGAGACATTTCCTTTTTTAACGCAATACTCGTAATTAAATTAAAAATTTACATTTTAGGCGTTTTATAGCTCAAAGTATTTGACTAACTATTACGAAACTAAAAATTAACTTTGATTCTCTAATACTTTGGAAAGGCAGGTCCCGAAATCTTATGGTAAGAAAAATGCATATATGTCTTTCAGTTTAATTTTAAATAATAAAAATAAGGAAATATCTAGCATCTTCCGATTAAATATTTTTTTGTTTGGCTGTTCATTTTAATCTTAATGAAACATAAAGAAGCGCTTATTTCATACAACGTATTTAAGGAAGATTTTCTGAATTTGCGGAGGTGCGGGTTGTATCGGGAGTGTCGAGAAGGGATTTTGGTGCCGTCCCGCTCAAAACACTCCTGATAACTGCCATCATGGCTATTTTGAAATCAGTACCTTGAGTCCCGATATCCCTCGCACATCTCTAGTCGTAATGGCCGATTGAGCAAAACACTGGCGTGCCATTCGCGAGATCTGAGGTTCGTATATTCGGGCAGTGAAATTTTTATTTTTGTAAATTTTAAAATTGAGGTTTTCACTCTTTTCACATATAGTGTTAGGAGTAAATGGTAATTTCGGGTCTCAGGTGGCAACCACGCATATGATCAGCGACAATTTCACATTTAAGTGCTCTTCAGATAAAGCTAAAGTTCACGTAAATCGGGTTACAGGTATTTCACTAGCGAAACTGTAAAGTAAACTTAAGAAATCGATTTTTCTCATCTTTTAGTAAACTCAGAAATGTCTTCTTGCCAGCCCAATGCACAAATCATTACCATTTCTTGTATTTTACTTAAAGTGAGGTTAGATGTGGCTATTTAAGCGCTTTTTCTATGCATTTTGCTGTCAAAATGCGAAAATCCCCTTTCCTGTGTATACAGCCAAAAAGTCATTTTAGCAAATTTGTAAAAATCACTTTCGGAAATTAGAAATTGCAAGGTGTAACTGCAACCGGAAGAACGTAAATCGCTTTCAAAGGATTTCCACTTGCCCGCGCTGCACTAGCAATTTTCGCATCTGCTAAAAGTGTTGTCAAACCAATGCACAATGGTTCCAAACTGGCATTCAGTGTTCATAATTCACTGGAGCCTTTGTTTCTCACTAAATTTGATTCATTTTCCTTTACTAAAAGCTTATAAAATTCGCAAGGGTCTAGTTGAGCCTGATTTTTACTTAATTACTTATATAGAATTTTTGTTGTTCCAGTTATTAAATGTTACATAAAAAATCTAGTTGACAACAGTTGTAGGGTTCCCACAAAACGGCAAAAAATTTAAATTTAGTAAAAATATAATTTTGGTGAAGTTTTTTTTTAATATTTCATTTTTTTTTTTTCTGAAGTTTCGCCTAAATTAAATTTGTTTTGTGTTAGAAAAATTTTTGGGTATGCAGTTTTATAGGTCATTAAATTTTACTTTAATAAAGTGCAAATTGCAAGTGGCTATCTAAAGTTTTGCGTTGAATTTTTAATAATATTTATAACAAACGCTTATATTTCCCATTTAGCATGCAAGTGTGCTCTAGGTTAGGTCAGGTTAGAGATGTGCTCTAAATGTTAGGAAAAAAATTGTAATTGAACGCAATGTCTTAGCAGCCACGTGCAACTTGTACTTTACTATACTAAAATTTTATTATTCATAAAATTGCATAATCAAAATTTTTCTAAAAACTCAATTTTTTTAATTTTGGTGAAAATGTCTTTTATAACAATTCAAATTGTTCTTGTGAAATGTTTTTTTTTCATTTTGGGGGAACCCTACAATTTTTTTCATTTAGTTTTTATTAAATAACACATAATAACTGGGACAGGAGAATCGCTTCTCTTCAAAAATGGTACTTTTAAAAAATTGGGCTCAACTGGTCTCTTGCTAGATTTATAAGCTTTCATTAAAAAAAATTAAACTAATTGGTTGAAACGTGAAGGCTTCAGTGAATTATGAACAGTAAGAGAGTGATGCCGTTTTTGGCGAATTTGTATAAAATAATTACAATTTTGAATAATATATCAAAAATAACTAAATTAATTTTCTCTTTTAATATGAGGTACTTAAATATTAATGCATTACAAATTCTATAGCTGTTTTGAGCACATTTCGTATTTTTAGTAATTTTTTATTTTATTTTTTTCGTGCGAAGTTGAAAGTGAAATTTTTTACATTCAATGTTTAAATAGAAAAAAAAGTAATATGGGGAAATGCGAATTTCGGAAAGTAAAATTGCTTTTGAAAGTCACTTTACTTTACTACTCCTGCAATAACTTCTGGAAATACTTGCGTTTGAAAGTAGTTGCACTTGCCTCGTCTAACAGCTACTTTACGTTTTCTGAGCATAAACAAAATTTGATTGCGTTGGTGCAAATTCCAGAAAATTTTATATAAATTTGTTTCTCTGTAGATAGGTACTGTGTAACTTAAAAAAAAACTTTAAATATTTAGCTTTTGGAACACTTTCTTGCAATACAATCCAAGAGCTTTGCAGTATTTTGAGAGTATGGCAACTGATCTTGCAATTAGAATGAGCCCCAAGTTGCAAGATCATTTTGGCATGCTAAGTAGAATATCTACACTTAAAATCAACTAATAGCGGAATGCATTGCTAATTCAGTGTTCATGCACTTAAAATTTTTCCGCTAAGTAATTAATTAAGCTAAAACAATAGTTAGAAACGTTTAAATTTTCGTAAATGATTAGCTGTTATGTATGTAGCTATTACGATTAAACTTCAGCTTATAAAAGTGTATAGTAAGTCTCAAACCCTCCTACACCGATACTCAAAAATACTACTGAAAATAAAAAAATACCGAAAAATTTTTCTTTGTTTAAATACCAAACACAAAATTGCATACATATCTCTGCCAAATATTAAAAAGTGTATCGAATGGAATTAAAAGTATTAATAAATTAATTCAAAAAATAGTTTTTAAGTAGTATTATATATTTAAGTAGAAAAAATGTTTGTTATTAAAAGCATAAATATTTATGTAAGTATGTAAAAATTAAGTTTAAAAAATCAACGCTAATAATTCAAAAAAAAAAAACTAAGTTATCGCAAGTAGGCTAGTAAAGATAATTAGCTATGTATTTATACTCGTATATTAAAATTCTAAAATTTGTATTTATAGCTGCCTAACTACATATGTACATTTGTACATAGAAGTGCATACGATGGCATGCCATTGCCATATTTTTTTTGGCTCTAATCTTAATTTTTGTTTTTGCTTGAAAAATAAACTTTCTTCGAACAATTTATGTACATATATATTTACGAGTATTTGTGGTATTTTTAGGGAGTAACAAAGCTGTTTTTAATTAAAGCTATTACTAAAACAACCAATTAAATTTCCTTTAACAATATGTATACTTGGTAATTTATCAAAGAAAAGCAATTACACGCTTTGCAAATTCAGTAAAAAATTTCCTCTGCCAATTAAACTCTTTTGCCAATTTCATAATCTAAATTTCAGTTGTCTTGCGATAAATTTGAAATTGTTCTACTAAATAAGAAATATTTACATTTGTACATAGTCAAAGATTGGGCATAATTTTGTAATTATTGGTGAGTGAAATGTTTATAAAATCTCAAATAAAAATTAAGTAAATTTGCAAATTCAAACACGCTTTTTAATTATACAAATAGTCCGAGTAGACAGTAAGTAAACATCGAAATCTATAAGATTGTTTGTTTTAAGATACATACGTGCGTATGTGTGGTGACGTTGCGGTGAATGAACTTCTGCAAATAATGGCAGGACGAAGTGCAGGATTCCTGTCTACATACATACATCTGCTATGAGTAACTGGAAAACTACGCATCGGAGAGAGAGTAACCTAACCAGAGCATACACCGCTAAAGCTCATCGGGATGATGCAGGCGAACTCCCAAGCACACTGATGTACCAAATTTTTTCCCAATATTTTTGAAAATTTGTTTTTCATTGGTAAAGTTCAAATAAATAATACAAAGTGATCAAAGGGCGCCCAAAAAATTAAAAAAAAAATCAAGAAAAATTTGCAAACAGTTCGGCACTAAATGAGAACAGTTCAAAAAAAGTGTATTAAAAAATTAAATTAAAAAAAAAACACACAAAAATGCTGACAAGTCATTTAAAAATTCCGAGAACTTTCAAAATATACCCATATCATCCAGAAAAATATATACAGAAAAAATACTGGAAACTCCAGTAGCCGCTGTAGACTCTAGTGGTTAAATGACACTTCTTACTATTTGGCTGTAGAAAAGTAGGGATAAACATCAAGCCAAATATGTACAGTAGGGTGGTCCAAAAATGCATGTGAAAAATTAAAGTCGGACTTTTTATGCACTCACCCCGTAGGATTGTTCTCTAACGAAAAAATATTCCCCTATTTTTTATTTTGAAATCAAAAAATATTTAGAGGTCGCTCAAAGCGCTCGAAGTTTTCATGTGTTTTATATGGGGGAAAAAAACAAATTTACGTCGAAATGGTATAGAATTTTTTAAAATAAACTCGGTTTCTCTTTGGGAGATTCCTAATAATTATAACCGTTGGTTTATTCAACCTTTTTATCATAGTAACTGTATTTTATTGGTCCGCAAAAAACTTCAGAAAAAGTAAATGGGGGACCAATAAAAAATTTATGTAGTTGATATGGGAAAAAATACATTTTTTCATGAAAATGGTATAGAATTTCTGAAAATCTGTTCCTTTTCAGGAGAGTTCCAATAATAATACCCAATGGTTTTTTAATAATTTTGTTTAACTATTTTTTATATGCCCTCAAAAATCCAGAAAAGAATGCAATGGGTCCCCCACCCATAGAAAATCCTCACTATTAAAAAGTGGTAAAATAAGTAAATGGTTATTATTATTGGACAAGATTTCCAATCGTTAATTATTGATTTTCAAGAATTCTATACCATTTCTACGAAAAAACTTATTTCCCCATATAAATTAAATGGAAAATTTGAGCGCTTTGAGTTACTTCTACATATTATTTCATTTAAAAATTAAAAAAAAAACAGGGGTTATTTTTTCGGTATAGAACAACCTTTAGGATTGTGCGGATTAAAATTCCGACATTACTTTTTTTTGGCCCACCCTATTATCACAAAGCTTATAAATGAACAGCGAATAAATGTTAAATTCGTTAATTTATCGCTGTTAATATTGCTATCGCTTAAATGGACAAGTAACTGTTATTTACTAATTTTTTAGAATATGCTTTCAACATTCTAAATTTGTGCTAGCAAATTTAAAACTAAGTACCATCTTGTATTAAATTTCCCCACTTAATATATTATATTTATTGGTAGAAAAATTTATCAACTAGTTGTTTTCTATTTTTTTTCGTTGTTCGTTTGGTAAACAAATTTATCCCATTCTGACAAGCATAAAAATGGTTTCCATTTCTTCCGCCATTTTTCACGAATAAAAATACCAACTTGTGTGGGTTTAAGTGGAATCGCTTGCATTTTCGTCAGGGCTCGGTTGCAAAACTCTTTTGATGTATTAAATTCAAGCAGCAATGACTGCTGAAACTTACAAAACTAGGTTGCTAGCACACAGTTATATATTTAAATGCATGTATGTATGGCATATGTATCTATGTATATACATACATGTACATACATACATAGTTATGTATTACCTACAAACTCTCACAACCACTCACACACTTCATTCATCTGTGTCAGTTAACACATTTAGCTCGTTTTAAGCTTTGTTTGTTTTTTACATATTCATAAATTCACAGATCGTCTGGCTGACAAGGATATCTCAGCACTTTGCATGACACCAAAGCTTCCCGGTTGCATTTTCGCCTCCACTGGGCTTGTATGCATGCTTGTATGCATGCTTGGGTGGGTATGGTGTGTCTGTTAAGTCACGTGCATGTACCCTGCAGGAAAAGCTACTAGTTGTGAACTAGAATACTACGATTAGTAGGTAGAAATAATAAACAAAAAGCATCATACCAGCTAGTACATCAGTTTGCTTGCGGTTCTCCAACAATCGTTATGGCCGAAAGATAATTTATTTGGATGAATTTTGGTTAGAACCTTTCATTTATCATGTAACGAAGTTCTGTCAAATAAACAAAACTCCCTTTTTTTGAAAATTGTGCAAATTCTAAATTTCGCAATTTCCTCATTTTTAAGATGACATGTAGGGCTATAA